AGCCACTTTCTGAGCCCGGTCAGAATCACAGAAGACATGACCAGAATGCTGCCGATGATCGAGAAGCGATTGGGCACTTCCTCGAAGAACAGCACCTGCCAGATGAAGGCGTAGATGATGTCGGTGCTGCGGGCGATCGCAACCGGACCGGCCTGCTCGAGTTGCAGCGCAATGGTGAGCAGGATTTGCCCGAGAAAACTGAACACCGCCAAGGCCACTATGAGGTACCTGTCCAGGCCGCAGGCGGGCAGGCAGAGCGCCCCGATGAAATACGCCACAATCAAGCACTGGAACAGGGCAAACGTGCCGAAATTGGTCATGATGACGGAGAAATGCACATCTTTCAGGGCGCGTAAAATCACAAAGGCACTGGCGCCGAACAGCGTCGAACTGAAGGCGGCCACGGCGCCCCATATTTCGGGCGCTTGTCCATTGTCGCCCAAGGAGGCGATGGTGTTGCCGAAAATCATCGGCGGCCTGGTGATCAGAACGACGCCGATCAGCGTGACGATCACCGAGACCACGTTAAACCAGCCGCAGGGCTCCTTGAGGAACATCCGGGCAAATATCGAGGTGAACACCGGCACAGAGAAAACAATCACCGAAGCGTCGCTAAGCGGCATATGCCTGAACGCGTAGAAGCTCAACATCAGCGCGGTGGTTCCAGTAAACGACCTCAGAATCAGCATGATGCGCTTGCCTTTGGGGAAGCACGGCCGCTGCTGGTGGATCAGTATGGGAATGGTGGGTAGGAGCACGCCAATGAACCGATAGGCGGCCAGAGCGACGGGATTCACATCGGACATCCACTTGACGATGGCCGAACATAGGGAAAAGAACATCGCGCTGAGGGCGGCCAGCACTAGCCCTAAATAGGGGTATTTGCGGCATCGCTGCTTCGGCTGCTCGAACCTGAGCACCTCGTCGCCGTCGTCCTCGGCCAGGTGTTGGAGCTCGATGCTGTCGGACATTGCGGCTGCTTGAAAAGCAAAAGCGACCGCTATTCACACTCATTGGGGCCCCTTGCAGGTTAACTTACATCTGTACATGGCCGATTCTTCATCAGTCTTCAGCGGCGCCAATTCGTCTGGAATCTTCGCAATGACTCACTTGCCGGTTGCTTCATTATCTAGCAATTGCGTCTGTATAGATTTTCTGGCGCTTTTAAATTTTCAGCCAAGTTTGACGCTCACGTGTGACATCTGCGGATTTTCAACTGATCGATACGTTGTGACGCTTGAATTTCCACTGTCAATTTTCTGGCAAATTGATTTGGATTTTCGGAAATTTTCCAATAATTTACAAATACCTCAAAAATCCCGAAAAACTGCACCAAAACCCCGCAGCGATAATTCAAAACACACAAATCGTCGCCGACATTAAATTAACCGGCCCTCCAAATGCCACGCCCTTGCTGGCACTGACGGTTGCCAATGTGCTCCTGTCATTAGAGTTCTAACCCAACTTTCGAGCCAGTGTTTTCTCGCAATTTTCTCCACCTCCCCAACCCCTCGGGAGATTAATGGCAAAGCCCCAGCAAAGCAAGCAAAATTGACCGCGCCCCAATCAATTCCATAAATTTTCCCACCTGCCGTTGCTGTATGCGGACACTATCGCATACGTCACCGTAACGTTCCCATCAAAACCCTCTCATTTTCGCTAATCAAAAAACGCATTTTCCCCGCTCAGCCTTTCGACCTACAGGCCCATAAATTCGCAGTTCAAGTCCCGCACTTACCATCGAGTGAAGTGAGTTCGGCGCCCAGAATCCGCAGTGCTTGTGGTGGAAAATGCTTGACTAATATAATTGCGCATCAAGCATGAAATAACATGGATCTGGTCTGTGTAGCTGTGCAGCAGAAGCTTTTGCCCGTTTCCCTGCGATTGTTGAGCAGCAGGCGACACTATGCCAGGTAACTGTCCTCTTTACAGCCAACTGTTGGGCAGGTGTCTTCCAGAAGCCTGTGGGGCTCTAAACCCTTCTGTAGAGCTGTTAACAAAAAAACTGATTTAAAACCAACACTGAGAATCTCTTGCAGGCTAGCCGAAGTGGGGCGACTAGAAACCCCCAAAGCGGAAGGGAAATACGACACTGGACAACTGATTCTTCACAGAGTGTTTGGCTATAGGGGGGTGGTTCTATTCCCCTGGCTGGCCAGAGTCTATGACAGGTTAGCAATGCAATTAAACACTCATTTCACTCTTAAAAACAAAAACCCGTTCTTATATAACACAAGCAGTAAATTTTCTGGACGATTTGGCGAATAACCTTTCATTTCAGGGATTTGCCCCAACACAGGGAAGGGGATGAGGAAACGAACGCAGGAGTCGGCAAAGAAGTCCGAGGACGAACACACACGTTCTACCAAGTCCTCATTGACCAAAGGGACTGCCCGTACATTGTAAGTGCGACTGCGGGGGGGCGAAGCCCGAATCTCCATCTTCTTCTTCTTCCAGAGGGCGCAAACGGAAGCAGTAACATTCCTGGGCAACCAGGACTCGTCCCGAAGCCTGTACGCTATTCCCGGCCTGGACTACGTGGCCCACGAGGACATATTTCCCTATGTGAGCGCCGAAAAGGCGCCCCTTCACCATGAATTGTTCGACAAATTCCTGGGACCCAACCCCAACAGAGGTGCCCTACCCTTAATCCCCGTAAATAAACCTGATTCGCGTTTATTAGTGGTCGATTTTTTAGATCCACCATTCGTAGCCCAGGACACATTGAAAGCGTGGCAGAACAAAAACCATCCCTGGTTGGAACTATCCGACGTTCACAAAGAAACCACGGAAAACATCCGAGTAACAGTCATCCCATTTTACATGGGTTGCAAAGAGAGTCACGCTAGTTCAGTTTATTGGGTGGGTAGTTTGGTGTTTGCATTCCTGCAACCTCCCTAAATTTGCACGATTTAGTGGCGTTACTGCATCCGATTGGAGAACCTGGGGAGCCTCAGCGTTCAGCTTCGGGAAAGGCACTGGAGGATCTTTTCATTATCAGGAACGTTGGAAACGGTCAGAGGTAAGCAGAACGGGATTCGTTGCGTCTACTAGCCAATCACCCTTCGGTGAATGTTCGCAGGCAGAGGCGTGGTTGGCCAGGAACCAGCCCTAACTAAAACCCTGCCGGCCTTCCAGTACAGCAGCCACGTAAGCCTGCAGGCCCCTAGTGGCCACATGTGGTAAGTCGGCGTTAATGTGCACAAATGTCTACTAATACTGAGTTTCAGGGGCACGTTTCGAATGGAGCGCGAAGACGGCTACACGTTTGATTGCCGAATACCGCCCTTTTCCCTGGAAAGTAAAGCGGAAGGCGGACCGGCTACCCCGCCCGAAACAGCCTAAAATAGCGACGCAGGGTGTAAAAAAGCCATACCAAAATTCAACTGAGTGTATATATTACACGTAATGCAACAACGCCCCAAACTGTCTAGCATCGCAACATTTCCCCAAAAATCCCCATTGACTGGTAGAAAATAATATACAGAAAAAAGCTGAAATGGAAATCGTCCGCCCCTCCTAGGCTCAACAAACTTAACAGTAACTCTCACTTTATTATTACTATGCTATTAGTATAGTCGCCTAAACCTAGCTCATTGGTGCTGATCGAAGAGCTGAGTAAATGCCATACAGTAGAACATAAATACATAAAAAGAATTTTACCTCCTTTAATCTTAACAGGCTGCAATCAGTCGGAAAAGGGAACTACCGTTGAAAGCTACCAAAGCCCAAACCGACGCCCCTCATTGTGTGAGTGGCCGTTCTGGCCACCTCGTATTGCGCCTCCATAGAGCTGAACATCTCCTGCTGTTTCTTCAGAACATCCGTGCTCTTCACCGCTAAATTGGTTGGATCCGTCTCTTTTATACCCATGAGGCGTTTGAATTTATTGGAGGTTTTGTCTGCAAATATCGAAATCAACCACAGTTGATCACAAAAGCCCAATTAACACCAACCGTCTGCAAAGGTGGTCGCCTCATATACTTTCGTGGAGTTGCTGCCGCCTGTTAACAAACTGCCGGGAGCAGGTGTGCTGACCAGAGGCGTGCTCTCCTCTTTGCCCTTCTGCCAGAGCAGCTTTCGCTTCTCGATCTGCTCTCTGAATCGGCCTGCAACTGAATCCATGCAAACCATTCCATCAATATCTATTCCGAAACGCTCACCTGTGATGCCTGGGATGAAGAAACGATTTCCGTTCGGATTGTCTTTGAGGTTGCGCTCTGCTTCCTCCAGAGCCGAAGCTGGATAGTTGTCTGGTTTGAACTCGATGCCTGAAATTACGTCCGTTAAACACCGGCTTTTCTTGTCGGTGGCCTCAACATACCCAGCTTGTCAAGTCGGTCCATTCGCTTGTCGGCCTTCTCCCGCCTGGATGGGAACCCTCTAGGGCCTCTATCTTTTGAACCGGATCCGGTGGGCTTTGGAGACCTGGACTGGCGCCTAGGAGATCTGGAGCGCCTTCTATCGGTTCGACTTCGGCTGCGCCGCCTATCGCGCCTATCTCGCCCAGACCTGCAAATGCCATTCGATAATCCCGCCCAAGAACGCAATTGTATGAACAAACCTGTCGTCTCTGCGATCCTTTCGATAATTCCTGTGCCGATCGCGGCTTTTATCATCATCGCGTCGTCTGTCGTCATCTTTTAAGTCTCTCCCGCCACTGCGCTCATCTTTTCTTCGATGGCTCTCCTCTTTGTTGCGCTCTTCATTGCGGCCATTTCGTCTGTTTTCATTCTGTTTCTTAAAATTGGGGCTTTTGCTTGCACTCCTGCGCGATGCACACGGTCTCGAGTCTGGGGCGCCGCCCCTGCCGGATTTGGACTGGGCCGCATCAGCGCCAGAAGAGTCGTTCGAATCCTGCAGAAGAAACGGTTTCTCTTAAACCGCCCGGTCCTGCCTTTAAGGTGAAGTTAAATTTGCGAGGAATTTGATGCTCTAGCAACAAGAGCAAAAGTGTTACTAAATGGTAGTTATTAGGACAGATGAGGGGTGGAAGTGTTCTTAAGTGTACAATTGGAAAACTCTTTCTCGCCTTGACCAGGGCAGGTGATTGGCGACTGGCTTGCTTGTTTGATAATTCAGAAATCGTCCGACTGACGAGTCGGGCCCAATAAATCACACTTTGTGAGCCTTAGGGCCATAACTGCCTTTATAGACAAAAGAAGAATTTTGAAGAAATCACCAGCAATTGCAATGTATAGGTAATGACATTCACCAAATTAATACCCTAATTAATACTTACCGAGACACTGAAGATTCTGGTTCTGAATTCATCTTAAGGCGCTCGATTGTTGTAGGGCTCGATTCGATTGATCGATATCAAGGTCTTTACAATATAATTATAACAGACAATGTTAATATCAAAAATCTTTTGCACAGTTTTAAAAAAATACGTTAAAGAATGACTAGCGAAAATTATTCAAAGACAGTCTCTTTACTTAGCAGTGAATAGGAGCCTTCCAGCCAGCCAGTGCTGCTTTGGCTAACTGACAAATGAGTACTCAGAGCAGCACTACTGGATGGAATCATCACAGAATAGAATAAAGTGCAATTAATCCACTATAAACCCTCAAAGTGCTCGTGGCAATGAACTGCAAGTGGCTTCATCCCGTGCCTTGCAGCAAGCACTGGCATGAAACCACACAGTTCATATAAAAGGCGCGGCATAGAGAGGAAGGTGGTTTCTATAAAGGACAAATTACCTCGCTCATGTCCATCCCAACCTCCTCGTAGTTGTCCTCATGGGGCGGTTTTCTGCCACTTCTCGAGTCCGAGGTCGGTGCGTGGGAGCTCGTCTGCAAACAACGAACTGGGTAAGAGTTTAGCATTACGCCAAAGCGTAGACAACCGGTTTGAGTAAGTTTTTCACGTGCAAGATCCATTGAGAGTGTTCGAAACGACCAAAACTTCCTCAGCCTCAAACGATCTTGCTAGCATTTGACCCACGTGAACCACAACATTCAAAATGTGCCCTTTAACCAGGAAAAGGCACGAGGGCTCTTGACTCCCTGCCTTATACTTATGTAATATTACCGGGGTGCGCTCGTCTGACGACTCGTCGCTATCATCACTGCCGTAGCCTGCCAAGGAATTCATGATCAAAAGACTCAAATCGCTGCCCAAAATAAAACTTCCAATAGATTTTGGGATGCGATTGAACCGAGGATTAGACGAAAATGGTAAATATGGCGTCCAAGACAGGTGTCACAGGTGTCACTGCAGAATCCAAAGCAACGATGCCAAAGCAGCGATGACGACAAAGAATTTCTGCTGACAAAGATGCAAAATTGGTGGGGTGTTGCAGAAAGGTTTTTCCATCTTTGTTTACGAACATTTTCTTGGAATTATATTGTAATTTTTTTTTTCGGCAAAAAAAAACCGTTATTGAGCACTGCTCGGCGTGCCATCTAAGCACTCAAGGCCTTCAACTCACGTCAGTAGATCGCGGCATCAACCAATGGCGCCACTAAAACCTAGGCTGGCAATGAAAAGAGGGCGCCAGCCGTACGAAAACGGCAGCAAACTCAAGCAAATTTTACCGTTTGAATAATCAAGAAAATTAATTAACCAAAAAAGTTGGATGCGCTCGGAGTTGGCTTTAATTTAACTAACTGGGCAAATTGAAYGGCTAAKCAAACGTACCGGCAAAAACCGTTAAGYCCATGTCCCGTGCCTCCGTTTATACGATGACACGAAAGTGTTTCTATTGGTTGAAGACATAGAGAGAAAATAAAATAATATACGATATGATATGAAAGTGTTTCTATTGGTTGGAGACATAGAGAAAATAAAATAATATTTTACTTACTCTATGGTTGGAGATCTGTCGTACGACGACGAATTGACAGATCTCCAACCATAGAGTAAGTAAAATATTATTTTATTTTCTCTATGTCTCCAACCAATAGAAACACTTTCGTATCATATCGTATATTATTTTATTTTCTCTCTATGTCTTCAACCAATCGTATGGGACAGAGGATTTACTGGTAACGACAATGGCAAAACTCCACTCAAAGTAAATATGATGACATTTTCCGCAACTCATCTTAATTTAAACCGGGACCACCCACATTTTATCAAGAATACTCTTGAGGCTCTTAATGGTGGATTAGCGTGAAATGAGGCTTGTTATTAACCTCGACTACTGGTCACTGCGTGGGCAATTCTCGAGTAAACGTCCATTGGTGACATGGAAAACGTCACTTTTTTTGACACCAGAAAATGTCTTCCGCCCGGTTTGACAATGACGCACTGGACGGGATCACTGGATATAAAATAAGCCCTACCAAATCAGGAAAACCCAATTTCGTAGAATATTTTTAGTTCAKGCAACGTATGCATTATTAATGTGAGTGAAAACCGGTAAAACGTCCCCTGAAGCCTGAAGGCCGTTTTATGGTAGCCATCACACAAAACCCATCAAGTCAGTGTTATTTAAAAAAAATCAACAGAAGATCCTCAATGATCGAAAACGGAGATCACGTGGTTTTTTCGGCTCCCGGGCGGCGGCCTAAAAAAGGCCCGTAAATTACATTTTTGATTTAGTTTTTCCCATGTTATTCGGATAGAATGCGTTTTCATTCATGGGACGACGGTATCAATCATTCTCGACCGAACACAGGTAGCTGCCAAGCAATTGGATACGTGTAAATTACTTTGAAACAGCTGAACCGCTAATGACATTTGCCGGCGATCGCCAGCTTCGAGTTAGCCGAATATCGAACGCAACAATTAGCAGGAATGTTTCAAAAGAAAATTAATTAAACCGACTAAAATCGAAATTTACCTTGCGCTTATTTGCGTCAGCCAGGCAGTGCACGTCAAAAACTCCACTCGAATGTCACACTAATTTGGTGATTCTTCACACTAGTTGTCACGGTGTGTGTATGGAATTTAAGATTCTGTTTGTTTTTCGGTGTCCGACCTTTAAAAACCATCATTTTTTATTGGCCTTTATTGGCCTAAGTGATTCTTTCACTTGGAGGGCGGGCAACATGGAAAATAATGAACGCTAACGAACCTTCATCGTGCTCATGATGGTAGTGGTGGCCCCTAAACACCACAAAAGTCAATCAGTGGAAATTCATCCAGAAAATTGGTGAAATTAATCGCCACCAAAGGTATCACACCTCTGAAAATTCAATCGACCACGGCTTAATAACCCAAAAATCGCCGATTTCTGCATAAGTTGACTGGAAAGGTAATTGAATATTTGCGAAAACCCCAAAAAATTTTAGCGCAAATGTATCAATTTGGAACGTAGCCGCGCACAGAGCATGGTGCCACTCCTATAGAGTGCCATGCGTGCGAGTGAGAGGACCGATGCCAGGCGCGTTCCTGAATGGCACAACCAGCTTCACTCAATTGATTGAAGTGATAGTGTTCACTCAGGGGCGGATCCAGCTTTAAATTCAGGGGGGGGGTTATGTAGAAAAAATACAGTCTTCTGACACAGAAAGCGAAATTTGAATATCAGACACTTGGGTGCAAGATTATGCCAAAATTTCATGTTTTTCGTCCCGTTTTTGCTCATTTCTCGCAGGCAAAATGAGCAAGAACGCTCATTTGTACATCATTCTAGAGAGAAATAAATGACGTTTTTAGAAAGTGACCAATGGATAGGGAAATGTTGGCAGTTTTCTCAAAAAATGCTTGAATTCAAGAAGTTTTAGATTTGCGTGGTTTTGTTGAGTTGCAAAATCCACTTGAACATGACGCTGCTTTTTTCGAAGTTCCTCAAGAACGATTCGAGCCAGAGAATTCGTTTTGGCATCGTTAGATAGCTGGTCAGGTTTAGCGTAAATCGCTAACCTCAAAAAAAACTTGAAGCACAAATTGAGAAAGATGTTTGTTTATTGGCAGTTGCCCTGACTAACCGGTCGCTGTCACTGTCGCTGTCAATGGCAATCCCCCTTCGTTTTCTTCTTTTATGGAGATATTCTCTGTATACAGGGTGTTTGAAACTAACATGACGCTGCTTTTTTCGAAGTTTCTCAAGAACCATTCGAGCCAGAGAGTTCGTTTTGGCATCGTTGAATAGAGAATTGAAAGGGGGCGGGGGTCATGACCCCGATGACCCCCCCCCTGAAGATACTAACCATGCATGCGGGCGAAACGTCGGGACAAAACCTCAATCAAAAATCCCCAGTTTCACTATCAACTAAATAAGTGGTTTCATTAATAGTTTTCCCAAAAGCAAAATGAAAAAGAGCAAGCCATTGCATTCGATTTGCATAGTTTTTCGATTAGAAGCCGTTATTGTCCGATTGCGGTAAAACAATCAGCGAATTGAATCAACCCGAACACCGCAATTGTTGCAAAATGAAGTTGTACCAACGCAAGCCAACGGTCGCAGACTCAAAATCGTATTCAAAAATTATCGAAATTCGACACGTGCATTGTCAATAAGTCCATAGCGAGACGAATTTTTCGATAATTCAATTTGAAACCGTGGATAATGCGCGTCGGCTAGAAGAAAGCATCATAAAGCAATTGTTTAACTAGGAGCAAAACTTGCTGGTGTTTCCTTCCGTGTGAAATTCTCAAAGTTCGACGTTTTTGAGGCGGCAAAGTCCAGCTGAAAACCGCAGCTAGACGGGAAAAATGGGGGCCAAATTCGCTGGAAATTTCATAACGAGGTGAGCGTCACGCGCGATCGCGTCGCTTGCCTATTTTAATACCACCTTCAATGGATTGTCATTTGTTTCTAATTTCCGGTGGGCAAAAACAAAATGTCGGAACAGCGCTTCCGGTTTCTATTTCAGTGCCACAGCGCGCGATTCGTCGACTGGGTTTACACCAGCTTCGGCCTCCTTCAGACACTCACTCAAACCATCAAGAAACCCAGTCAGGCTTGCACTTTTCGCACTCAAACCACCGGTTGGTGAGGTTGAGGTTCAGTCACACTCTCCCATGGACAAACGCGGTTGTTCTGCGACGGCACGAGAAAAGCGCACTTTTCCATTCTGGCTCCAATGGAAAAGTTGCGCAACAAACAGAGCCAAGTGCGAAAAAAACCCGAAATGATTTGCAAAATCCGCGAGTTCCAATGCAATTTTTAATTGTCGCTTTTTTCCTTTTTCCTAGACAATTGAAATCGATAGCGTATTGTTTTTTGCCGCGGATCGATCGAAGGGAAATAAATTACGTCACCAGAAATATTAATTGCTTTCGATGGTTTTTTCGTTTTGTTTCGCCGGCTCTCGGCTTTACGTAACTGAGTCGGCTGAGCGCGAAAGGAAAGTTTTCGTATTAAATTTATTTAAAAATCGTTTATTAGATTACAAAAGTGGCGCTTTTTTCGCGATGAAGAAAGCGCCTTTTTAGCTCTGGTCGCTTATACCCGACCGATTTGGCTCGTTATTAGGCACATCAAACATTACAAGGGAATTTCCTTGCGGTCGCGCACACCAAAAGCCTGAGAGACTTTTCGACTCTGCCGCTMTCAATCTTTTTCATTCGTTCGGTTMCTTTTTTACTCTCAGAAAATTCGCTTCTCAACTGGATTTCAAATCCCTTSCGTGTCGAGATCAARTCGGATCGACTTTACACACACACACACAYTTATAGYTCAGTCTTCAAATGTGSTGAGAAAACTAAAACTTTGCAGTTAAATTGCGCCCAGAAATTGTCTGAAACTGTGATAAAATCRAWCWGCGGTCTGCTCAGAAGAGAATATATCYGRGAGGACTCATCAGACATCAGAGAACCTTCYAGACYCTTTTCATCCCCAAAAACAGCATTTAACGAGGAATTTCGASACTTTRCCTRACACGSGCCTATTCTGACGTAAAAACGRAGCGATTRAGCTCAGAAAACGCTTGAAAATTTTTCAAAATTTGGCCACATTCGCTCAAAAAAAGCCTTAAATTCCCGATTYTGACCTCATCATCAGACTGCACGCTTATTAAATAACTCCGCTCTCAGATAAAGAAGAAGGGAGAAAGAACGAGATGATGTAGAAGATGAAAACCAGCGCAAAAACACTGCAAACCTTAAAAATGTAGTCTGAAGGTACCAGTAGCTGGAATAGTACGAAATTCAAATCACATGTAAAACGAATGTTTGGTTATCGATCGCTGGAACCCAATTGCTCAATTGTTGTTGCTCAGAAATCGGCTTCAGAAGCGGATGATGTAGAAATGGAAAACCGCAGAAAAGCAGTAGAAAGTTTTAAAATGTATTCCGATGGTAACAGCAGCTTGAATGGAACCAAA